GGTTTCAAACTGTCTGCTATCAGGCCAGAATATCAATCACGTTGAGAGGAGTCTAGATTCTCTTGTTTGTCCTAAGTTTGGTCTCCATTTAAACAGGTTTGAAATTACGCGATTTTTTAGCATGTACACCACTATCCTCTCCTTTAATTTGACATATATGAGCTATTCCCCAATTTATCTGTTTATTACTTTAATTCTCAATCGCACGTTGACTTAAGAACTTTTTTTAAGTTTTCTATGCGACCAATTGAATTAATCCTTCATTTTGCCTCTAGCTGAACTTATAGCACCTAAAGTACAATATAACTAGTCACAGATATTATACAAAACTATAAAAGCTTAATAGATTATATCTTACGAATCTAATGAAACATGTTCTCCATGTTATCACCAACCACTTCAACCCGAAAGTAAATAAACCCGGATGAAGAAACTAAGAGAACGCACCAGTCCTAATCCCAGTTATTTCTTCATTCTTAAAGCAGCAAAATCTTTAGGCCACAGCTGAATACTGGTATCAGAAGTCACTACTCGGAAAAAAGTAGTGCGTTCTGATTGGTCGATTCATTGGTCAGTTTCAACGCCTAATTGGCCTATTATTATTTAATAAGCTGAAGTCATTTAGGCCAGTAATTATATATACAACTGTTTTTGGCATTGATTAGCCAGTAAGAGAGCTTCTATTTCACATTTCAAAGTACAACTTCACTTTAGATTTTGCCGTAAAATGGATTTTGAATGAGATATTAGTTTTGTGGAAATCATTTTTAATGAAGATTTGAACTTCAATCCAAATGACTGAGAAATTTGCTAGAAACGATAAATGTTGAAATAATCAGATTGAACAAATACATTTTGAAAATGGCCAAACAGATTCCATTAAAAATCACAATTACTAAACAAGAATCAGATATCGAAAATAGTTAAGATGAATCGATTATTTGTGGAATAATAATAATTTGGAATTCAAAAATGCATTACAAAATTAGGGTTTTAGACTTTTGGTGTTAATGTTGTGGGAACGCAACTTTAGCATGACAAGGTCGGAAGACTCTCCACCAATCAATGACCAAAGCCAAAAACGAGCAATCAACGTTCAAAGCCTGCACGTGGTTATTCGACCAACCAATGGCCAAAGCCATTACGTGGTCATCATGCCCATTCAAATGCAGGAGAACCTCTGAGTACAGTCGAGACTTATTGGCCTAGTAATCCGCTAAAATGCTAACACTGTGTTTGCGGTAACCATGCTGACTTCATTTCTTCCCTGTCCCAAATGTCTTCTCGTTTTGTTAAAGAGTAGAAAGCGTCATTATGCGCTAATTTTTTACTTCAGGCATTTCTACTGGCTGTTGGCTAGTGTAATGATTGGCTGGTTGTACCGTTGGCAGATTAAATTTTGGTCATCTTTTCCTGTCATTAAGCGAACTTTATTACTTCGGTTAGAAATTTGCATAATTTGGATAAAATTATAAGAGGGCAAGAGAGGAAACATACGAATTCCACTGTAAACCCAGGTGGCAGACACAAAACAGTAGACTAGACAAGAGATGGCTATAAAAGCTATCACAATCGCTGTAATCCTTGAGCGTCCGAAAGCCGAATGCTCCCAGTAGTCATTGCGATTGGTGAAGCCGAGGATAGCCAATTCATTATCACTACTGGAAGTGCCCCCAGTAGGCATCTCTTGACCTTGAGTCCTTGGAGCGCGAAGTAGGGTGCCACTTTCATAACCACCTTGAGCACTACTGGAGGTGGCACTGCGAGGTCGTGATACCATGGCAACGACCTTGTCAATATCATCATCGTCTCCGTTCTCGTCTAATTTCCGCTCAATGGCACTCTCTGTGCTACCGTCTACGTTATCTATGGGGGTGTCTGACTTTCGAATACCTACAATATAGCAATGGTGGCCTCATTATCACAAATATTAACCATGCAAAACACTTACTATCAGCACAAATATTGTACTAATAAATATTACAGAACCGCTTTCATTATCACTTATTATAGGAGCTAGGGTTTGGATCATACTCTCCAAAAGGTCACATATTCAAAATAAAGAGGGACGCACAGGGACACATGCCATGGAATTGATGGTGATGATGATGATGATCTTTCTCAAGCGATAGGAACGCGTTTGCATTTTGACTGGATAAGTTATGAACTTTAGGCCTCATAATACTTACTTTATTTGAATGAAAGCATTAGGTGTACCATAATCACAAAAATATCAAAATACATTCTATTGCATCCTGATTTGCATATTTTTGTGGATCGACGAATCCCATTTCAAGGTGGAACGCGCCAATTCGATGCATTGGCATCCTTCTTTCAGCGTTATGAGCTGGTGCGTGAGATTGAGATTAATATTTGTTTATAATTCATTGTCCACTTGAGTTTTTGGAGCACGTTATCGCTGTGTGCGTCATTGTATGCCTGCATGTCTTCTCGCCAGGAATGGGAGGTGCGCCGTACAACTCTGTGTGCAGCGACACTGTGTGGAAACAGGTGCGGCCTTACAACTCTGTGTGCAGCGACTGTACAAACAGTGATCATAAAGTAACCTCCTTGGGAGGTGCGACCGTACAAACAGTGACCAATCCTTAACATCTGTTTGTTTAACCTAACCCCAATCCTGATATGATTGAGCTCCCTGCGTGTACACTTGATCCGCAATATACGTCCTGAATGAACGTGCTCCGTGAACTTGATCCGCAAGATACGTCCTGAATAAACGTGCTCCGTGCACACTTTTCTGATCATTACGTGACTGAATATACGTGTTCCGAATTATCGTCTGTTTCCTTTATAGCTGGGCTATAGCTTAGCTAGTTTCGGTCTGTTTCCTTTATAGCTGGGCTATAGCTTAGCTGGTTCGGTTTCCTTTATAGCTGGGCTATAGCTTAGCTGGTTCTGGGTGTCTAGCTATATGTAGGAGAATCTGCCAAAGTGATTTCTAAGTCAGTCAGGCTTTAATAAAGTAGCAATCCGCTACAAGTTTTTTTCCATTAAAATCCTTCATTTAAATGCGAAAAATGACTCTTTTTTATAAGAATATGAGCTCAAGAATTGCTTATTTTACTAATTAAACAAATATTTACTGGTAAATTAATCATTAAAAGCTTCTCTTTACAATTGGATTGCAAATTAATTTAACTAATTTTATTCCTTTATAAATAGGGTGCGCGAGAGACTTACCTCCTCGTGGTGCACCCTGGGCAACGTACAATCATACGGCAAAAAAGTCTATAAACCAGCAGTTGACTTCTGGCTTCAAACTATCATGACCCCACCGTATGTCATAGTCGACCACTTCAACAGTACTCACCTCACCTTTTCTCTGCCTTTCTGTCTGTCTATCTCTTTTACATCTGTAAATCACTCATCCGTTCTGTCTCCCCTCCCCCTCTCGAATTTTTCTCACTTTGATGTTCCTGCTCCTCTCTGTGAAGTCCGAAGTCATCTAAAGGACTAATGATAACTATCAAAACGCCTGCCATTTGAGATAAGTAGTCCTTGATAACTCATTTAATTGAGTCCAAACTGGCGATGGATTTGAAAATTTGTCCCAATTTCTAAGGGTTAACGTTCCTAAATTCGACTCCACTAATGTCGTCCGAAGTAAACTGATTATAATTACTAAAAAAGTTTCCTACAAATTTTCGTTTCTACCTATTTCGCACGATCTGTTGAAGTATCTGCGAACTTGGATGGAAAGATTCGAATGGTCTCGCAATCTTCAACACATGTGCTCACTCATAACTACAATTGTCATTGATCAGGCACTGCGAAATCCAAATGCTTTCCTTTCTGCGCGTTCAGATTGCAATGAAGTTCGCGCCGGTTGTAGCACTTGCCAACCCAATTTGCTTAGTCATTTCATCATTTTTAACTCTTGTTTTATCAAAATCTTTTGTTTTCTTTTGCCAGTGATAGGTCATTCGAGAGAGAGAGAGAGAGAGATAAAGAGAGAGCTAAAGAACTCGATATTGCATTTGAATATGGTGGAGGTGAGGGGGGGGGGTTTTGAAAAGTGTTGGCACTGCTATTTGAAATATTTTTATGGGGCTCCGGTGTAATTCGGAGAAGGTTGCAATGAAAATCGACTTCATGAAAGAAGATCTTGATGCATTTGCTTGTTTTAATAAAGCAGATCTCGGTTATTTTAGGCTCCATTCAATATGCTCAATATTTCCGATAAATGGACATAATTCTGCATAAAATAATCGATATTCACTCCTTCCAAATTTATTAAAGTAATAATACCAGTAAAAAGATAAATCAATGTCTAATGGAAATTTTTCCGGCACATTTGGTCCTTTTTACAGATTATTATATTAAAATTTCTTAAAGGTTGTATTTAAAAGCTGTTCAAAGACGTCGGTTATTGAAATTTTTCTTTAGACATTGTCATTGGAAGTAAACTTATTTTGAAATCGATGGTATTGTCTTCTTACATAAAGTATCAATTTATTCACATAGGATTTATAATATCACTCCTATACGGCACAAATGTTGACGGCAATTGTAATAATTTTAACATGTTTATTGTCCTAATGGAAGGTGCAATAAGTTAGTGGAGGCATGTGAAATTAAAGCAGTCTTCAAATATCGAAATGGGCAACTCAGTTTAAGTTGCTGTATTTTGAAATTGCCTTCTTTATAAAGTACTCGATGTTCTAAACATTTCATTTTGCCCTTAAAAGTGTTAAGAAGACCAAACCCACCTGCTTCCAAGTCCCTGGAAGTAGTTGAAGAGGAGACCATTGGAGGATGTGTCATGATAGGAGGGCAATCGTCTCTAGGATGGCTGTGTCGGTTTTCGCCCTCACTACATTCTATCTCCTCCTCTTCTTCGTCTTCGCGTGATTCATGGACGATTGTGGTTGTGGTTGTGACGCCACCTGCTTGAACCGCCGAAGTCGGCACATGTCGCAGAGGTTGCAGCTCAGTCTGTTCAATATACGTGGAGGGTGTTCGGTCAATCACATCTGCTGCATCGTAGCCGTTTGAACGCTTGAAACTTTTTCGTTTCCACTATAGAAGAAGAAGGTGGGGAAATAGTTATCCATAGTGGCACTAACTTTTCTTTCCTCGTTATAATGGTCACAGAGTTCATTTTCTATAAAGCTTTAGAATTATACACAATTCGGGAAGATTATGTTAAGTATCTCTTCGGAGGTACATATACTAAAATTGGAACGATACAGAGAAGATTAGCATGACGCCTGCGCAAGGATGCCACGCAAAATCGTGAAGCGTTCCATATTTTTGGGGTGTACGATAGACTTACCCCAACGCGGTGCACCCTGAGCAACGTATACTCATACGGCAAAAAAGTCTATTAACCGGCAGTCGACTTCTGACTTCAAAATACCATGGCCCAACTGCTTGTCATATTCGACCCCTTTCACGCTACTCATCTTACCTATTCCCTACCTTAATGTCTGTCTGCCTCTTTTACATCTGTGAATCGCTCTTCTGTTCCCCTCCCCTCGACTTTCTGCTACTTTGATGAACCTTCCCTCTGTGAAGCCCGAAGTCAGCTAAATGGCTACTGATACCTATCAAAACGCCTGCCATTTGAAATAAATAAATGTTAAGTACTGAGGATGTTAATCTGTGGCATAGATCCGCATTTTGTCCTACTTAAGGGAGATTTCGTTTCCAGTAGTTCAGAGACTGAATAGAATAAGTTAGTGTGTGGATGACTGTCGACTGACTTTGCAGAGGTGTTGATCAATCACTATATGCGGTACGATTTTGTTTATGAGTGGTAAAAGTTGTGGTGTTATTCCCCAATTTTTTTGGGCTTTGTGACTTAACTCCCTCTGAATTCGCTGACGGCTTTGCAATGCAATAACTCAATGCGTGGGTGACAGCACTATGGACAGCCTCAAGTGCAAATAGCAGAAGTGAAAATAAATAAAATATTAAAGATAAATACTAACTCCAGTATAGTTAACCAAGCGATGAAAGTCAGAAATTGAAAACCACTCAGATCTAAAATGGTTACCAATAACGTATCCGATCGGAAGGAGAAACAACGCTAAGCTTTGCATAATCATATCATTTTTGAGTCATACTCATGACGAATCATGGTGTAAATAGATCAACAGCCAATTATCAATAGGTTCATTGATTGAGTAATCGTAGCTAGCTACATGGAACTTGAAGCTCCAATAATCACCTGTGAATTGTTGAATCTCTTGTCTGTCTAATCACAATCTAGAAGAATAAACTCACAGTTAGTTGAATGTTTCATGAAAATGACTGAAGAAGAACATACAAATTCCGTTGAACACATTGTCAATCAAATTATGATTATGAAATAAGTGAACAGTAAATGATACAAAATGCAGTATTTAAAGAAATAGAGAAAATTTTAACTATTTAAAAAAAGAAGGTTTTAATCAATCGGAAATATTGGATAAGCATTTTCTCGCTTTAAATGTATTTTACCTTTGATATAATAGCTTTTAACTTCAGTTTACAACCGTCTTCCCCCTGTACGTTGTTCCTACTTTGTCTCCATTCAGGGGTCAAAGTATCTGGCCCAACCGCAACCAGAAGACATGACAACGTCTTTATTATGCTTTGTCATAGGCACTTTTACAGAAGTGGAATACCACAGGAATACCAAAAGTATCAAAACTTGGATTATGTAAGTAGAAATTGGAGGTACCTTGAAGTGGAGGCGGATACAGAATTGGGTCCAGAGAACATTCCGCAGACCAGGAGGTTAACAAATGTCAATGACCCGACCTTAACCATGGGTTAGTCATCAATCACTTCAACGATTTTCACGTGTAGACCTACTGCAATTCACTGGTCACAATTATTTTTTCCAAGAATAGGAAAAAAATTACAAGAAAACTTTAAAGCATCTCAGCTCAGCACTCATAATAAGCATTGAGAATGCTTCTTTTCTTAATATTGTTAAATTTAAAATGGAATCAAATTTCTCCATAGAACTTATCTGGAGTAAATGCAAATCGATCCGAAATTCCAATAAGAAAATATCGATCCTACATCGATTAATTCACGTAGAACCTAATTCCTAGCGCCACAGATGCACACTATGACAAATCTTCTAAATTACTCTTTTATTTTTTTATTTTTTTTTAAAATGAAGGCTCAAAGTCTCCATATCAGCAACGTTTCCAATCCAAAAATGCCGATCATTCGGACAAAAATTTTATAATTGAGTATTATTTGTTTGCTTTTTTTCTATTTAAAATTATATATTTCATTAGTGGACTGAACGGAAATATGCCTTAAACTTTTTCCGTGAAGTTAAAAAATACACAAGGTGTTTGTTTTTGTTGTGTGTGTCCGTATGTCTGACTAATGGCAGTCGAAAACCCATGAGACCTTCATTATTCATTTGTCTTCATTTACAAAAGGGACTAAGTTCTTTTTACCCCTTTTAGAAATATACAATAAATAACTTTAACTTTTAAAGTTACTAGTTGTTAGCCTTTCTTCGTAAATTTTAACATTTTTAGGCGAGTCAATGTCTGTTGACTTAGATCAATTGCTTCCAAACTTTGCAATATATATATATATATATATATTACTTATAAAAAACGCGCAAATTAAGAACAACTGCCATTTTTTAAATCAAGCCAAGGAATCGACATGTCTGAATTGGGAAAATTAATATTTTGCATAAAAATAAATAAGTTCTAAAGGAAAGTAGTCATGTTCATCGATTCGGTCAAAAATCTGTCGTTGATTGAAGAAGTTGGCTACCCACGCTCTAGAATATATATATCTCAAAACGTGATCTCTATTAAAAATCTTAAAGTGTCAATTTTTGTTAATTTTTTTATAAATCATGTGAATTATTTCAGATAAAAAGAGGCGTTTCTCAGGAAGATTTCAATATTTTTAGCATTGCAGAATATTAGCTTTGACCCATATAGCAATTGCTGACAATTTTATTTAATAAAGCACTCATTATTATTTATTCAATCACATTTCACACCGAGTCTGAAATAGAATTATCTCCTCTTCTTCTAGGTGAGTTCTAATGAGGACTTGTTATACTTTTGAATTATATACAATTTTATTGAAATCCCTGGATGCGTTGACATATGATCTAATGACTGTGATATCTTCTGTACTTCACAGTTTGAAGCTTTCTCATTCCCTTTCGTTATCAGTTAATTATATAAAATGAGGGGTGTGCGATAGTCTTACCACCACGTGGTGCAACCTGGGCAAAGTATGCTCACACGGCAAAAAAGGTCTATTGACCGGCAGCTGATTTCTGTCTTCAAACTACCATGACTCCACTGTATGTCATATTCCACCACTTCCACAGTACTCATCTTACCTTTACTCTGCCGTTGTCAGTCTGTTTGCCTCCTTAACCTCTGTGAATCACTCTTCTGTTCCCCACCCCTCGACTTTCTGTTACTTTAATGCCCCCCCCCCTTCTGTGAAGCCTGACGTCAACTAAAGAGCTAATGATAACTATGAAAACGCCTTCCATTTGAAATGAATAAATACAATCCTGCTATTTATAAAATTATTATTTAACATGAGTTGAAATTTTAGCAGAGAACTGTTTTCGTCCCTATTTTAAGACTGAGCAATAGTGCTTGATATCACATATGATTATTTTACCTTTTCAATCATTGCGTATGAAAAAAAAATGTTTTGAAGTAATGGAATATTTCCTTCTTGATCAAGTACTTCAGGCCAATATGCACTGGACATCATTTCGACGCATTGGCTACAAACCAAGGGACAATTCACTAGCTTCCAATTTTGAAGCTGAAACTGCACAACCCAATTTAAAAAAATTAGCAGAAATAGACTATTTTCGTGCCTTGAAGTTGTTCCACGCGTTTCTAGTAACCGATTTCAATTGATTCACACAATTCAAAATTCCAAATTTTTTCTTGTTAATAGCTAAAATTATTCTTCAGAGCCGCTTGAGGTTATTTATGAAAATCTTCAAATGCGATCAAAAATCAATAAAAGTGTCTATTTGGACTATAAGCCTCTACCTTGACGTCCAGTCCTCTTGACGTCCCTGCTGTGTCGACATTCCGCGGCATTGCATGCAGATGTCTTCTTTTTCTCCTCCCTAACATGGTTGAATCAGCACTGTCACCGCTACCGCTTACACCTTCATGGAACAAGAATTAAAAGAAAGTTATAAAAAAATAAATAATAAAAATAAATTTGTTACATATATATATATATTGCATAAAATTTGGGCACATCATGGCTAATGTAGCTAGATTTTAAAAAAAAGATTTTAATGTTTAGTCTTACATTTTGTAGCATTCGATGTCGCTGAAAGACAATTGAATTATTGCTTAAAGTTTAAACGATAAACTCAATTTCGTTTCAAGGACTCGCCAAAGGGGATTATCTTTATTCAATTTTTATCCCTACGAACTAATTTTGTGCAAATAAGCAGATATTATAAGATTTTCAAAATAATTCGGCCACCGATAATCGCGATAGGTCGTCGTTTCATATATTACTTAATGAGCACTAAACCAATAGTATCTATCCAAATATTTGAATCGAATTTTTAAGGGACATGAGACAAGCGAAATAATGCTCTTTTTGGTAGATTATTCTTCAAAATAATAAGTGGAAATGTCAAAACTTGAAATACGCTTCCACAATCATTACAAATCTTTCTCCTAATGCTTTGTGATCTATTAAATTATTGTGCATTTAATTTGGTGCCCATCTATTGATCTAAAACCAAGGTCGAGAAGAAAGAAGCTAGAATCGGCATTTTTTAATACATTTGCTATAAATTTAATTTATAATTGGTTAGTAAATTTAAATGATATATAAGCAACATATGAGATTATTAGAAATTCATAAAATGTAGCAGATTGGAGTGTAGGAAGATGCAATTAAAGGGATAAGAGAAATCACCTAAGACGGTGACTAATTTATTCTTCATTAGTTTTGTTTAAATCAACAAGAATGTACGACTCGCCTATTTCATTCCCCTGACTTATTTTTCGCCTCGCGGTAGCAACATTCTGATATCTTGACGCCGATGAAAGCGGAGGTGAGGTGAGCTGCCAAGGTGGAGCAGTACCGCCAGTGGCTGCATCAGTACTTTCCAAAGAGGATGCTGCTGACCGCACACCGGGAAAACCAGGGCCCATAACTCGTCGAACTTGACCCCGAAGTGGTCGAAGTGAGTAGCAATGACCTGGCCGCGATCCACTTTCTGATCGGGGTCGAAGAATGGGAGCATAGCGAGGAGACGTTGGATACCATGCACCGCAATCGGTCCGTAAAGATCTACTGGAGCTTGGACCTGTAAGAGTTTCAGATAGAAGGACCCAAGTTAAAATTCAAATTTAATTATTGCATAGACCAAAATATGATATGTATAAAGACACATAATTAATCACCGGCCATTGCGGTAATCAATCGGTTAATTAGTTCTAAATAATATTGGCATAATCTCATCTACTAATCCATGAAAATTAAAAACTTGAGCAGTGTCCTCCACACATCTCTATATTCATATAATAAAAAATAATATAATATTTATATGATAATATTTATATAATATAAATAATAGTATAAAAACGGTCTTTTAATGGGCTAACCGCATTAATTGCATTGAGCCCATTTACGTGTTTTTACTTATTGAATGCCGTGAGGAGTGAGATAAAGAATCTATACACCATTAAATAAAATATTAACAATTTTTTAAATGAAATATTTACATGTGCATGTTTTATGTCATTAAATTCAGAAACATGGAAGTAGTTTAGAACTTAAATTTATTATCGAGAAAGCCTACTACCCCCTGGCAACGTTGAATATTTGCCCTTTGTGGCATCTTTATGACTTCATGGTTAAAATATTACGCTCAAATCGTTATTTCAAGTCCTCTTTAATAAAAATTGAAGTATATTGATTTTTAATTACTTATTTAAAACTGCTTAGTTTACCATTTTTGTTCCTTCGTTTTCTTATTATTCTTTAATGGTTGCAATTTAAACAGTATATATATATATATATATATATATATATATATGTGTGTGTGTGTGTGTGTGTTCTGTGATTGATGCAATTTGTAATCTAGCCCTCATAATATATAATTATTTTATTAGACTTAATATAATAACAAAAAATTGAGAAAGATATTTCAGACCTATTTTTTCAATAGTGAGATTTAACTCTGAAAGAATCAATTGCAAGGTCCAAGAATTTAACATTTAAATAGCCCGAATTCAAGGATGTAGCAAATTTCGATTTATTTTTACCATATTTAAACTTATAAAAAAGGGTGTGTGATAGACCTACCTGCACATGGTACACCCTGGGCAACGTATACTCATACAGCAAAAAAGTCAATTAACCGACAGCTGACTTCTCACTCGAATCTACCATGACCGCACTGTATGTTATATTCGACCACTTACACAGTACTCACCTTACCTTTTCTCTGCCTTTGTCTCTGTATGTCTGTCTTTTAAATCTTTGAATCGCTCTTCTGTTCCACCTCTCGAACTTTTTTCACTTTGATGTTCCCCCTCCCCTCTGTGAAGCCTGGCGTCAGCTAAATGGCTAATGATAACTATCAAAATGCTTGCCATTTGAAATAAAAACTTATAAAAATTATCGCATGTTGGAAATTCTGAAATGGGAACAACCTTGAAAATTATTGAGCACATCTTTTTGTTGATTTAGTTAAGCATTTATTAACCTAGCTTTAAGTCTGTAAATTAAAGTAAATTGCTTAAGAATGAAACAAATCATGACAGTATTAGAAAAGCTTCTTGCTTTCACTGAGTTTAAAATAGACACAAAGTGACTTCAGTCAACTAAAACACAATTGAATAAAATGAACTTTTAAATAGTTCACATTTTTTAATTTAATGAATATAAGTATAAAAGATATATATATATATTTAATGCGTATTGCTTATAAAAGTAATTAAACTTCTGATATTAAGGTAAATCGATTTGCAATGAGAAACGGTTGAAGTATCCTCTAAACATCTTTAAATAATTGCGCATTAATTATCGTAGCTGATTCATAAAAGTGGCGCTTTGATAAGATCTTCAATAATTGCTATCTCATCTCTTCTAGGAAATAGGTCTGGATTTTCACGTTGGAATTCATCAGCGCAAGGCGCGTCAAATCGTAACCGAGAAACTCTAGTAAATGGAATGAATGTATTTAATTATTTTTCTTCTAAGTTAATTACTTCAAAATTTAACTTTGTTGATATGCGTTTTTGCTTGAATATTACACCACTTTTTCGTCGTGTCAATTATTAAAAAGCAATTAAACTATGTTACAAAATGTCTGAAAACGCCTATTAAATTTTGTTTAGTAATCTAGGTTAAATAATTATGTTACGATGAAGCATAACTCAAACAGATTTCACATCAAATGATGATTGATTTCCTCCATGATATATATTAAAACTAATTAAAATTGCAGTATATTTTTGAATACGAAAAAATCAATAATTTAACATGGATTTTCCCAAATTTATCAATAACCTTATTCATTACGACACATATTTATTTCATTCTCTTCGGCTAACCGATGTTTTATGAAGTGAAAAATCTACCAGCCATTAATATGAAAATTAATAATTGGATTTGTATTAAAATTAGAATAATTTTTTCTTTGCTTGATAAAATTAAATTTAAAGAAAATGGGAATTTAAAAATTAATTTGGGTCTTAATTTCTTCCTTTCTAGATTTTGACTTTCCAAAAAAATTAAGTTGAATGCAAATTACTTCGTGAAATGGATGTCGATTCTGTTTGCATCTGCATTTAACATATATAATGTATTCCAAATGCAAATTCAATAATAAGGTAGTATTCAATACATTGTTAAAAGTTAAATGTACTAACAGATACCTAAGCTTTCTAATCAATCATTTGATATGAACAAATCACACTTTGAAGTTATCGATCAAATTCCACTCATATTTCATATTTTTAATGCATTATTGGGCTATTATGGGGAAATAAATAGTGGAACTAAGCAAAATTTATTCAATTCAAAGGAAAGAAAGTGGTATTAAGAAATTGAAGTGAAATATTCTTTATGGAAAATGTGCCAATAATCTATCCACGCATTTAGTATCCCTATAAATTCATTCATCTGTTTAAGCATCATTTCTCATAAATCGTATTGAATACTGGCTATCTATAAAACCCCAAAGCCATTCTCTCGTCAAATTCTTTATGAAGAAAACAAGTTAACTACTTCCTTGTGACTCAAACCGAGTCTACTATGCCTGGATGAGTTTATCGACTCTCATTTTTGCTCTTACTGTCCCGTCACTCAACCTCTATTGTGTACCTGGCCAAGTGGCAATCGGACACACACACACCCAGACCTTCCTCTATCCATTGGTCTCTTCGTGATTTATGCTCACCTCCTACCTTTCACGCGCCCACCACACCACGGTTTACTCAATGCACCTACACCTAAACACTTCTTTCTGTTCCAGTGTTTCTTAACGTTTATAAGCTGCTATCTATAGTCTTAGTTTCAACGACTTGGTTCAAGTTTGTGTAAAATTTCTTCAATACCGTTGCAGCAACCGAAATATGAAATTCGCGGGGTGGAGGGGTGGAGGGGGGGGAGGGAAGAGGGGCTAATTCTCCAAACAGGGGGAGATTCTGTCAGACACAAGGCGCTTTTTTTAAGTATAGCTTAGCAACTTTAATATAATCACACTATGCTCAATAATCATTGTTCAAGGAATTGTTATCTACTCCCAGAGGAAAGTAAAAGCATGGCGATACTTTGAAAACATTGCTCGGTAAAAGAAAATATGGCTTGGTCTTTCACCTTTCTACCGCGAGGAGCAAAATTGCATCAAATAGTTCATAGTAAGTTACTACTTTTAGATGACGATAGAGAGGGTATTGAATAAATGACAATCATGAAAACTGTCAGTAGTAAGCGCTTCGAATTTATACAATAGAATGATTAGCGGTAAAAGTATACTCCACGAGAAGATATAGGTGATCGGGTGGAATTGTGACTATATCCATGCATCTTTCTGGCAATTTTGCTTACAGATGGTTTCCATTTAATGGGGAGGAATCACTCTATTTGTATGGCGCCTGGCCAGTTAGAAGTGTCCACAATTTAAGCC